AAGGAGCATTTTCTAAATTGCAGGAAATATTCTGGGGCAGTAGTTCTCCACTCTAGTGTAAGAAACTGATACAAAAACTTGAAATAGTCACATTCTGATTTAATTGATCCATCTGAGGGCTGGACATCTGGTTATTTAAAAATATTCCCAGATAAGTGTATTTCTATATTTGATCGAATACTAATGTAAATTAAATAATTTTCAAAACACTTTCTTGCAGTAACGGTAGGAGGTAGATAATTTTATTCCCATTTTACAGATGTGGGGAATTACATGATGTGTGTTTAAATTCTTTCATGTGCTTTTAATTTTGATGGTGAGTTTTCATTTGTGTTTATATTATTTCATGTGTTACACTATTCTGCTTGACCTATTTTCCAATTAAATCATAGTGTAGCATGAGACAACAACACATCCTGATTTCCTTCATATATATGAAATAATAAAAATTCAGTTCATGTACCAGGAAATATTAATATAACAATCTGTCCATTTGAATTAGGGGTCAGGGCTTCAGCTCGGGGTTCTGGACTTTCCCTGCTTCTAATGTGTTCAACTAAACACAAGAGGGTTTATAATCAGAAATCATTAAGTCATATTACCATTCTCTTTCAAATATTGAGTGAAGAATTAGACAAAAGTTCTGTTTTTCAAGATGGTAAGCAAAAAATAAGTTCTGTTTTATATAATAGATATTTTAGTGACAACATATGGATTGATTTTTTAAAAATCTGTAAAATGTTTAAAACATCCAAAATCCTTATCATTTATGATTTTTAATCATTGAAAAATGAAGTTTGCATTAATGTCACATTTAAATTTATGTCATTAGTTTCTGTACACATACTTGAGCCTGTTTTATACAAATTTAAATTGAGCATAAACATGGATAGGAGTGATATGTTAAATAATTTGTGCACAAACAAAGGATGAGTGACCTCTTTCATCATTGAAAGACACAAATCAGAAAACACAAGAATGATGAAAAATTTCTGAGACAACTGGCTTAACAAAAGTTTCAAATACACAATTAATTTTAATTTAATTTTCAGATAATATAGTCTTAGGTCCTGTAGTATTTATAC